CTCCTGAATTAGCAGAATCTTGCTCTGTTCATGGTAAATGCTCAGTAAAGACTTACTGTGGAGGGATGACATTTACCTCTGATTGCCCAGATCAGGGCCTTGATTTAAGTCAGCAGATATTTGAGTACCTGATTCTACAGGGGTGAAGTATTTTGCCTCTAAAATGAGGAACAGTAGGATGTGTTGCTGTATCCTCACTAACTATTTTTTTTTTTTTTAAGATTTTATTCATGAGAGACACAGAGAAGCAGAGACACAAGCAGAGGGAGAAGCAGGCTCCCTGTGGGGAGCCCCATGTGGGATTCCATCCGGGTCTCCAGGATCACGCCCTGGGCTAAAGGCAGATGCTCAACTGCTGAGCCACCCAGGCATCCCATATCCTCACTATTTAATAGGATCCAGGAAGGACAAGAAATTACCATTATGGAGACCAGTCCCAGAAAGGAGCATTTAGAGGCAGTAGATAGGATTGTAAAGGTTAAAGAAAAGCTCATGAGTGGTTGTATGGTCGATATTTTGGAAATAGATATTTCATTATATTAGACACCTTGACTCTTAAGAGCCAGCCTGCATATTGTTTGTCATTTTGGTATATTGAAAATAGCTTGTATGCCTCCATTGATTCTTGTATATATGCCTGAAATGTTTGGCAATGCTACTGACCAGTTTCTCCCTCCAGTATCTTTTCTTCTTGAGATCTTATCTTCATGATGCAGAGATCAAGATGTCTCTGTTTCCTTTACTTCTGTAGCCATGCCCCTTGGTTCTCTGTTTATTGTATGTGTTCCTTGTTTTAGTGAAAATTCTGCTTTACAAATCAGAATGATTAGAGATGAATCAAATGAACCCTAAAGGATCTATTTCATGATTCCTTGAAACAGTTGTATCTGTTGGTACATTGAAGATGATTTATAAAATTTGATAGCTGTTCAAGAATATATGGGTGACTTTTTTGCTACTACCAAGATAGGTTATATTTTTAAAGCATTTGTCCTATTACTCTTTCTCAATTGTGGTCCTCAGAGTGTCTGTGTCAGAGGTTTTGATTTGATAAGTATAGGCATTGGCATTTAAAAACAAGTACCCCAGCAGTGCCTGGCCGAATCCATCAGTAGAACATGTGACTCTTGCCCTCGGGGTTATAAGTAGAGCTCCGTGTTGGGTGTAGAGATTGCTTAAAAATAAAATTAAAAAAAAAAAAAAAAAACAAATACCCCAGATGATTTTTATAGTAAACATAGATTTGGAAAGTCACTGGTCTGTGATGGGAACCTACATTTAAAAGAAGTACTGCAGATGATTCTTTTTTTTTTTTTTATAAATTTATTTTTTATTGGTGTTCAATTTGCCAACATATAGAATAACACCCAGTGCTCATCCAATCAATTGCAGGTGATTCTAATGCAGTTGTTCCTCAGGCCACACTAAGACATGCCACATGGTCTTTTTAAAAATATTTTTAATTGAAAAATTTATTTGTAATGAGAGCCCATTCCTGTTGCTGACATTTCTGGCCTGGCGTGTGCAGCCCCGTGGAACAGTTTATATTTAATAATTAGACTTTTCCAGCACGTGTAATCCATGTCCCAGCGCAAATGGGGGATGTGTGTAATTGAAATAAATGATGGTTATAAATCAATTAACATCATTTAGATAAAGTATAAATACAAATAACAACTGAAGTAATAACAGGAGAGAAAATTCCACTTAAAACAAGTAAAAGAAAATATGTACATCTAAGTGTTAGTTTTCGTTCTATCCCAATAAATGGTCCCTTGTTAATGAACTGCTTAGAGTGTATGCTGTTCTCACCATTTTGGCATTTCTACAGTATTTCTCTCAGCTAGGTGTGAAAGCTTACCACTTCCCTTACCTCTGAGATGGTTTGCTTTTTGCTTAAGGGCAAAAGCCCTTTGCACTCAGAGATTTTGCCTCTAGTCACCATCACCTTACTTCTACCAGCAGTTTTCAGTCTTGTTTGTGGGCTTGGCTGCACCACGTTTTTATGTCTTGCATATCTAGTCATGCTGGAAAGTGTTCAAGAACATCATGATGAGTAACCTGTTCCTTTTTCCATGACTGTCTTATTTCCATTGATAACAAGTGTCTGGTACTTGAGACGCTTCTAACTTCTCTCCTTGTCATTAGATACAGATCTTTGCACGCAAGCTGTGCTCTTTATTCAAGAAAGTGTGCTTGGTCATTCATTCATTCACTTATTTAAGGTATGCTTGGTCATTTAAAAATTACTTTATATAAAAAAAAATTACTTTATCAGTGTTTTTTTTTTTTTAACACCTTTTTCTTACTTTGGAGTTTATCAATCAGTCTAGGTGCTTTTTTGTTTATGACCATTTCTACCCCCACCTTTGTTCACATAATAAGAAGAGGCAGCTTGATAAAGAGAATATTGAAGTCCTGGATTAAGTCCAGGTTCATTTTTATATCTTTTCAAATGCCAAGCACAGAGTCCAGCTCCTAGTTCGAGCTAAATTAATATTTACAGAACTCACTTTAAGAGCTGAGTGTCTGGCTTATGAGAGAGGACTGGTAATGTGATGAGTGGCTCAGATAATAAAACGGAGCCTGGACTATAACGATGCACAACTATGTTAGGTTAGGATATGTTGATGCCCTTGTCTCCCGGTGTGTGGTCCCCGGTAAGGTGGGGCTACCATTCTTAGGCCCTTTGTGTTCATGTGTTGGGTTGTCATCATGAATATTGTTTTTTTTTTTTTTTAAGATTTTGTATATTTATTCGTGTGAGACACAGAGAGAGGCAGAGACACAGGCGGAGGGAGAAATAGGCTCCCTGTGGGGAGCCCGATGGGGATCTCAATCCTAGGACCCCCGGACCATGACCCTAGCTGAAGGCAGATGCTCAACCACTGAGCCACCCAGGTGTCCCCTCCCCCCACTTTTTTGGATACATTTTGTACCCTTTCTGGCTTCACTGCTTTATCTTTATGCTTTTTTTCACTTCTTTTAATGCCTATTTTCTATGCTTCAGCTATTCAGTCTCACTGTTAAAACTGTCTTCATCCTTTAAGTCTTTGCCTTAGTATTATGTGGATAATATATAGAAGTCCTGCTTCCTTAAGCCTTTATTACCTATTGATTCTCCCTGTAGTTACTTGTCTTCGTTGCTTTCCTGGAATAGAAGCTTCTGGAAGGTGTGAATCATGTCCTGTACATATGTGTGTTGTCAAAACTAGCCTTTCAGGGAATGGCAGGTGACTGCATCCCAGTGATGATATGGGGAAGAAGGTCTGGAGTGAAAGAATATCCAGAACAATTGAGCTGCTGGTTTCAGGGAAGTCTGTGATGACGGCCAGGCACGTGTCCCTGCAGGGCCCATGGGCCATAGTATCAGGAAGGTCTTACCACGGGATACAGATAGAGGTTGATCAGTAAGTGGGAAGTGTTGGGATATTCAGGGATCTAGTTTGAGAGTCTGGGTTTGATACCTGAATTCTGAATCTTAGGTTCTGAAGGTTCTCAGAATAGGATGACATGGGAACGAGGACCAAGAAAAATGGGTGTATATGCCAGGCATGAAGTTGGTGGAAATAAGTGTTACGGAGTTGAGGCAGAGGTAAGTTTGGCAGTTAGGTACAAGTTGGAGGCTCGGGCAACAAAGAACAAAGAGCAAAGTTCTTGGAATTAGGATGTGAGGTTGAAACAGGCTGTTTACTGAATATCCTTCCTTGTATTTCTCTTCCTTAGAGCAAAATCCTTCCTAGTTCAAGCTAAATGGCCTGGCTCTTTATAAAGGGGTAGCAATGTCTCTCTGCCCATAAAAAGTGCTGACTATATATTTGCCAAGTGAATTCTGTTTTGATGTTCTCACAGTCCCTTCATGAGGAAAATACTGAACAACTTGAATTAAGTAAAGAAATAATTATCTTACTACTGGAAGTTACTCCCCTCTTAAGAATAATGACTAATTGGAAATTGATGAAGGTTATCCTTTGATTTGTGGCCATCAAATGCTAACCTAGAGAAAAAGGTGGTTCCACTTCCAAATGTATTTTATTTAGTATCTTGTCATAGCTTTCATTGCTGGAAGTTTAAAAGAACAATCACAGTGTCAATAATTATCTTAAAAAAAAAAAAAAACCGTATAAAGTACTTAGCAAAAAGGCCTGTGCCAAGTAGACCAAAGATACAGTGTATATTCATGAATTAATGAAGAAGCACATGGGAAATGAGCCTGGAAAGATACTCAAGATACTGCATTTCGAAAGCCCTCTCATACTTGACTGAGAAGATTGGCCCCCTCCTCTCCTGTAATAGGACTGTAGACAGTTATTTGTACCTTTATGTTTTCAAATTTTGATTGTAATAGCAGTAAAAGCTATAGTGCTTTGATATCTTTGTACTTGGTTCTTAGGTGATCATAGACCAGGAACTAGTGTCAGGTTTGAATCAAGATTATTATAAAGGCAGCCTTAGGGAGATTTGTTAAAAAATGTATTAAGAAAATGTGTTACGAGATGTATGAAAAAATTACGTTTAGACTTGAAAATCCAGACTTTGGTGATTGTATAGTATATTTTAATTTACCAAGAAAAAGTGTTATTTCTATAAGTAGAGCTGTTGTAATATCTGCTTTCTTTTTCTCCCCTTTAAAATTTAGTATTGAATTAAATTTATTTATGTATTTATATCCTTATTTATTTCATCTATTTCTTTATGCTTTTTTAACAATTTATTTTTTAATTTTTTTAAAGAACCATACTCAACATCTTCTACCCACTTTTATTTCTGTTTTTTGTTTTGTTTTTCCTTAAAATCTTCACTTACTATCTTTGGAATAATTTCCAATCCCTGAGTCTCTTAATAGGATTTGGGCCTTGGCTCCTGCCTCTGCTGCCTCTGATGGTCCTGTCTTCCTGTGTTCCTTGTAGTTCTTTGTCGCTCCCTGCTCCCTGCTTTCGTCAGGAATGTCCTGCCTCTTTTTTTGCCTGCTCAGCTCCCACACATTCCTTAGAACTCACTTCCCGTGTCCTTTGCAAAGCCTTGCTGACCGACAGCCTGCTCAGGCATCTTTCTTGCCAGCTCTTGTAGCCATTCCCTGGGCTGGTGTCTGTCAGGATACTTGCTTCCTTATGCCGTAGAAGTCTGTATCTTTCTGTCTCCCCCCTCGCTCCCCCTCCCCCCCAGTAATGACTTGAGGGATCCAGATTGCCTGAATCCTTTCTATATTCCCTGCAGTTGTAGTAGACACATCGGTTGTGCTCAAAAACTGACCCCCCCGAATGAGTTTGAGTGGATAAGAGAGGAGGGGAGTCTAGGAAAGCCCATAGTTTTGGCAGGGGGTCTGCTAGATGATAGTGCCATTTATCTCCAGTGCTAGCACCTGTTTCTCCCTACCCCTCTCAGCTCCACTTTTGAGTAGTTGTGGCTTTTTATTGAAAAAAGATGAAATGAAGAGATGAGAGACTTAACTCTTCTTGAAGATTCTTGGGATGTTTTATTTATGCCGTAGTATTCGCTGCCTCACTGAGGGCAGGGTGTATATATAGGTAGCTCTCACTAAGCCGAAGAGGTATGTATAGTCTTCCTTTTTTTTACTGGTATATTTTCTAATTCTTTTGCAGTTTTGACTTTGTAGTCTTTAATGAGCAGTAGCAGTACGACTGTGAGAATTAGGGAGAACAAACTTTGTCCCAGTACAGTTTAAGAAGTTCTCTTGTGTATTATACAAAATGTGTTTGCAGCTGGCCTTTCCATGTCACTCTAGTGTTGAGATAATCATAGAGGCCCTCCCATGCAGAGTACCTACAAATCAAATGGCTATTAAGTGGTATGAGTTTCTACTTGTTGGCCAGGGAAAGTGAGAGTTGAAGTACTCTGAGATACGAGGGAATACAAGTTTTGCTTTAGTTATAGGTGAAGTTGTTGTTGTGCTTGATGCCAATGAAGAACAAAAAAGAAATCTCAACCAGCTTCAGCTTAAAATTCTGAGTCCTGTTGTTTAAGCAGAGTACAGAGTAACTTGTTCAGTTCTTATTGACTCTATGGTCATCCAAACTGACTGAATGTGGTGGGAGGAGGAGGCCTCCCAAGTTGAGTTTGGGCTGTTTGTGGGATACACAAGTAACCCCCTCTAGGCCATTGGTTATATGGAGCTTGAGCCCAGCAGCGAAATCTGGCCTGTGATAGAGCTCTGGCGTCATCAGTGTAGAGGGGACAGTGGGTTATGTGTGGTAGCGGGTGAATCTGTTGAGAGAAAGTGTGTTAGGGGTCCTGGTCTCCTTGCTTTCTTAAAGTGTATCAGTACCCAGCCAGTACTGGGAGAAACTAAAAGTTAACTCACGTGCTGCTGACTTTAGCTCTAAGTATACTATGTAAGACATTTTCTTGTAAAAACCCAAATAATGCCATTTGCATCCTTAATAAAACTGTGCTTTTAAAGCCTCTTACTCTGCTTTCTAAGATTTTATCATTCTTTAGCTAGAAAATGGATTTTCACAGATTCAGAAGGTTTCTGTAGAGAAAACTTAGGTATCATCAATTATATGTAACTGTTTTAGTTGTTTGTAAGTCTCTAATCCCTATTAACTCGATTTTCAGTTTTTTTTTTGTTATTTATATTTAAAGTCATGTAAATCCCAGATAGCTTCCAATGAACAAACAACATTATGTTTGTTATTCCTAACTGCTAATTTAAAATAACAATATTCTTTGGATAGTAGCTCCATAAAATCATAGTTTTGCATAGTAAGTATGCCAGAGAAAGTACATTTGTTTGTAGTATCTGTTTGTATATGTTAAAAGACACAAACATGAACACACAGAGTTTGGCATGATTTCGTGGTCTGTGCAAAGGAGCAAGAGAAGGATTGCAGGACGGTGCAGGTCAGGATTGAAATAACTTGGCAGAGTTTGGTGAGAAAGTTTGCTTAGCAGCTGCCTTGGTTAACTTTGTATATAATCCATTCAAAGACTAGTTCAGTTCTGTGATGTCAAGAGTAATAATAGCAGCAAGTGAATTTAGTTTCTTAGATGGCAAATTTTAAAGTATAAAATATAACCATAATTTACGTTACACTAAGTGCATTGAGAAGTATTTTTATTAAAAGGACAGTTTTGTGTACCCTATAGTAAATGGCTTTTACATACTTGCTTTTTTCTCCTCCTTTCTTAATTTTCTCTTAATTTGATTTGCATTAGAAATCTACACATTAAAAAAGAGATTAAGAAAATTCAGAGATACAGTTGTTATTCCACCTTCTTCTTCTTTCTTCTTTCTTCTTTCTTCTTCTTCTTTTTGGGTGGAGGGAATGTGTGGGCAAGAAGAGGGAAAAGGCATGAGTTTTTCCAGAAGTAAAGTAACACACTTTGTTTTATTAAACATTGACTATGTTCCACTAACCTAATGATCATTAGACAGACTCTGTTGTTAGGTCCAACTCAGATCTCAAAAACATTGTGAGGATCTGGGTGAGGGTTGAGTGAAAACGTTCACCGGATAGGACATCAGGGGACCTGCTTTGGAGTCTTTATTTTACTACTTAGTTCTGGATGTCAGTTTACTTGTTTAGTTTTTAGTTTTTAGGAACATCAAAAGAAATACTTGATAAGAAATCATTTAAAAAATATTTTATGGTCACTGTAAACTGTAGTATGTAAAGAAAAGATTTTGGAAGATCAGGAATAAGTGCATAGAACAGTGTCTAGCAGAGTAGGCATGTGGAAAAAAAGGATAAATAGCAATTAATAGGTTTTTAAAAATAAGAATAAAATGTAAAATCATATGTTAATTTAGAAAAAAACTATTAAAATTTATCTTTATTTAAATGAGAAGTGTTTTTCATTTTTTTGTGATGAGTTTTTAGTTAGCGAGTACTTGTTACGGACCAAAGTCTGTTAAAACGGATGACCTTACAGTAAATAATTCATACAAATGAAAGCATTTCTAGCTACTAGCCTGTATTCCATAGGGCCTTATCAGCTTTGTTACGATAGAATTCACTACTATGAATTATTTAGTTATAAGGCATTCAGTAGGATGTTTTTTGTAATCAGGTTGGGGAGATGGTCCAACCTATTTATCTTAGCTCTTTATGTATGTTAGTCTTTTGCCATGGACGGTATGGTTCGGTTGCCATGATTTTTCTAGTGTGACAGCTGAACGGTTGGCTTAGTAATCGTGTGCTTTTCCAGGCTTTAGTTGTTGCTATGTGAGTAACTGAATGACACGGCAGAAATATAGGGGAAAATTTATTGTATTCGTAACAGCACCTTAATGCCTACAGTTAAAATAAACAAATAGAAAGTCTATGAAAAGCTATTTTGGCAAAGTTCTTTGAAATGGTTGAGTAGGGATCACTTGTCTTTTACATTCTCTTAGGAGAATTCTTCTGTAAAGATCAATGGGAAAAATAATACTATCTTGCATTCGTATACCACTTAACATTTTTGAGAAGCATTAATATTTTATTCTTTCAACTATCTGTTTACCACAGAAAGTGCCCTGTATTTGTTACTCTAAGACAAGGATTTGAGACCTTGCTTTATCATCGCATGCTATGTGCTTATTATTACCCTTTAGAGGGAAGTAAACTGAGATGTAGGGAGGATAACTATTTTAATTATTCAGAAGTAGATGCTCATGTAAATTTGAATTAGATACTGATTGTTAGACTTGTATTTTCTAAATTTGATTATTCAACAGGTACTTACAAGACCTTAATATGTACTGGAGGTTAAAGAAAAAATGAGGAAGAAATAGATTCTCTCCGTAAGTAGTAGTAGTTGCTATTGTAGTTAATGATTAGGACTTCAGTTGGACATCACTGATTCACTAGAATACATAAAAACAAGTACTTCAGAAGGTATTTTACAAAAAGTCACTGATTATATTTTTTAAAGATTTAAAAAAATTATTGATTTATTTGCTAGAGAGAAAGAGTGGGTGCGAGGGAGAACACAAGAGGGGGTGGAGGCTGGGGAGAGGGGCAAAGGCAGAGGGAGAAACAGACTCCCTGCTGAGCAGGGAGCCCGGGGTGGGGCTCCATCCCAGGACCCCGATGGTGACCTGAGCCGAAGGCAGACGCTCAACTCGCTGAGCCACCCGGACAAAAGGGCCACTGATGATGAAGCAGGGTTGGCCAAGTAGACTAGCTGGGGAGGGTGCTATCAGTAAGATAGCTTTTGTGAGAGGCCCCGGGGTGTGAAATAGCCTAGAATTTGGAGGAAACATAAGTGGTTATTAAGGCCAGACTACAGCATTTTAAGAAGAAGCATGCAAAAGAAGCAAGGCTAAGAAAAGTGTGTTTCATTCATTAAAGGGTGTTAAGCAGGAATATGCCATAATTCGATTTTCATTTTAGGTACATAATTATGGTGAGCGTAGAGAGTAGGAATTACACTGCCAACATTAGGCAGAACAGTTGATGAGTTATAATAGTGGCAGGAATCATGAGGGTCTGGGAAGAGCAGAGAGATGTTTGCGAGGTAGAATTTATAGAGGACATCCGTGGAGGTGGGAAGTGACAGGGTCTGCTATGACCTAGGAAATCTGTGGGATGACTGGGTGGCAATGTCATTCACTAAGAAAGGGAATACTGTGTAGAATGGGCTGGAGGCCTTCAAGATTTTAGACGTTTCCATTTTGGCAATCAGGCAGAAAGATCCAGTAGAGTTGGAAATGAGATTCTGGAGGTACTGGTTCATAAATCATCAGTGTGTAGGAGGCAGGTTATGTGCCAGCTGAAAATGCATGATTATTGATTTAAATGATCATGGGACTAATCATTAAAGAAACCCGAGCAAGAGAATCAGCAAAATTGCTTGTTGATCATAGACCAAAAGATGTATTTTGTATAGAAATGAAAAAAGCAGTTAAAAGAATATCCTATCAGGCCCCTTATAGTGGGGATTCACTTTGCTATCTTGATTTATTTCAAGTGGATACCAGATTAAATAGTAGCTAATGCATGCACATCTCAATGGTAGTTGACAAAAGTCACTGGAACTAGTATCTTCATCTGAGAAATTGGAAACGATCAAAGTATTCTCTGTAAACATTTAGGAGACAG